AGCTAAAAGGCCCAGGCACGTGTTTCGCTGGTATTCTGCCGCTGCTTGACACAGCTGCGAGCCGCTGAGCCGGACCCCTCGCACCTATGTCAAGTAGCGGCGTTAATTTCTCTGGAGATTAAAAAGCTGAACTTTCAAAACCGGTATAGAATTAAACCGGCGAAACATGTGTCTGGGCCTTTTAGCAAGTACCTAGGCTGTTAGTATAGTAAGTTACAACGTCAATTTATGCTATGTTCACTTTTTTCATCATAGGAAACAGCATTAGCTGTATACAAGCTGGCAACTTCCGCCGCCCTCTCTGTCGGTTACGTGAATGCGGCTTTCAACCCCTGTTTTTATTCTCTCTTTCCCGTCTTTATTCTCATGTTATTATATCTCTGTGTGTTAAATTAGGTTGGCTGATACCACCACTCACCCATCTCCTTTGCCAGAGATTTATTTGTATTTTCGTCTACTGGCCCCTGAGGAGTTTCTTAACCGTTTTTGAACCATCGTTACATCAATTTAAACTTACTGGTATCCATTCATCTCAACCCGCTTTGATAAAATCCTGATTCTCCAGCAGAATAGACTTTTTCATTCATTAGAGGGTACTCGTCGACATTATGCCCCATGAAGCGTCATACTCCCCCCATAGCTATTCTAACTTCTGCATCTAGTAGTCGTGAAACAAAAACCAGTTTCGTCCTTCTGGATAAGGATTACTGATCTGGTTCCCTAAACAGGACAGAATGGAGCTCCTCAACCCAAGTAATGGAGGTATCACTGCGCATAATTCCATAGCGGGTAAATATTCCCCTGTCCTGGGCCCCACATTAGCCATGACGTAAACATAAACCGTAGCTCATAGTCTTAACACTAGGCCTACCTTAGACTCTAACCCTGCAGCTACCACTAACCCTTAGCTTGACCCTAACTTACCTTAGCGCCGACCTCAACCCTAACGGTAAACCTAAGCCAATTGTCGCTGGAGGTTAGTGCAAAGACACCTGTAGGGGGTCCTTTATTTCATTCTCATGTCATTCTGTTCACCAACTACAT